AACTCGGTCGTGTTGCCTGGGCGACCAAAATGAATGCCTCTTATTGAAGGAAGTCTTCTGTCGCTGTAGTCATGATGCTTGTCGGTCTCAAACCGGCGACGAACCCCAAAATTGAGACTCGAACCTGACACTTGTTCGGTCCAGGGGAGGGCTCAAAAAGCCAATCCTGCTTTGTCTTGACACGGTTTCATACATGTAGGACAAGCATAAAACATATGCGAAGAAAAGTTGGGGTTCAAGCAATCTCTTGTAGCATAATTGTTGAGCTTACTTCCATTTCGAGTGTAAGTATTGCGTGAAGAGATTCGAAGGTCGATTCCATCAGAAGACGGTGGCGGATTCCTGTTGACCAGCTGACGATTGGCTTTACTGGAACATTCATGCTGACGGTGTTTCTTTCGATTCCCGTGAAAAGATGCTAACTTTTCGTCCGTCATGTGATGAACATCATCAAAACAAGGTATCATCATCACAACAAGAATCAGGCTGACGAGTAAAATAGTGACGATTTCATCTGGCTCTGATGATGTTCGTCACATGACGGATGAAAGCTTAACATGTTTTCACCGAAATCGAAGGAGATTACCTCAAAAAACACAGCGTCAGCATGAATGTTCCAGTAAAGCCAATCGACAGTTGGTCAAAAGGAATCGGCCGTCGTCTTTTGGTGGAACCGACCTTCGAGTCTTTTCACCAAACACTTCCACTCGAAATAGAAGTGACCTAAACAAGCATAAAACAGAAAAACCAAATCATGAAATGCCTCATCAAGATCGCAAACTAAGACATACGAAGTAATTAGGATTCTTCGTGACGTGGAGGTCTTCTTCACACAATGCAACAGACCAAAGCCCAATACAACCCTCATTTGGTATCCGGTGATGCCAATCTACGAATCCTTTCGACCCGCTTTCTCAAACAAACTGAAAGGTATGCCAGAATAAACTTGGTCTGTCTGTTTTTGGACCATCTCAAACGCCTAGCAACCTCAACATTCTGAGGGAAGAAGTTACTGAGCCATCGAAAGTAGTCTTGGCAACTCAGTGGCCTACCCAGGGGGGCAATAAATGAGTCACCCGTTTCACACGCCCTGAATTTCCAATTGTCTTCATCATTCTACAGATGACGTCCTCACTTCTCGTGTCGTGTCCGGTCGCGAAAGCGTCTATTTTGGCCAGCGGCTCGTTTGGCCCATCGGCCGGCGTCTGGAGGAGTCTGAAGTGCTCGAGATATGCGCCTACAATCACAGCAAATACTTGCCGGACAAGTGAGTTGTTTTGTGTGAATTCGTTTTTGCCATTGTTCAAAGGTCAACTTCCAAACCGCCAAGTTGAATGTGGTAAGCATGCAGTTATGAGCAGGACTGTGCTCAGGAGTTGGTATGACATGTTCAGTGAACCAATGAAAAATTCACCTAATTTAATGACTTGCTC